GCGTGCACATACATTCATATTTCACTGAATATCAGTGAAAGATGGTTAAGATTTTTTTTTTTTATATGTCTTTTTCCTTCAGTTTTGGCCATTTTTCTGGTTTGCAGGCAAAAATCATCCAATGTCTTCTGAAGAAGCCATTATCAAAGAATTTTTTTCTCATTCAATACAGTTTCTATGAGTTGGCTTTTTGTTTCTTTGGTAGTTTTCAAATGTCACATCTTCACACAGTAGTGAGTGTGCATGTGGTTACAGTGTTGGGGTTTCTAAGTATTGTGACAATGTGTCATTTTGTAGTGTCTTGCCAATTTTTTGGACATGAAATATTTAAAATGTTTGTTTCTAAATTGAATTAAATTTGATTGAAAATTTTTTGCTTACATTTATGATTAAGACTTCTAATATTTGTTATTCTTTACAGTAATTTTGTATTTTGTTGAGTTGGTTCTCAATTTTCATTAAAAAAATTTCTAAAATGAAAGACTGAGTGAGAGAAAAAAAAAATCTTGTCAGTTGCTAAGGGAATGTAATACAATTAAAAAAAATGATCTGGTAAGGAGCAAAATTAGAAAGAAAAGAGCATGAAAAATAAACGTTTTGTTGCCAATCAACCTTTACTTTTTCAAGGTTAAGTAGTAAATGATTGTAATACAGCACAAACACTATTGAGTGATATTGGTGTTTAAAAAAAAAAAAAAAAAAAAAAAAAAAAAAGACAGCTTGAACCAAATTGACCTAAAAGCCAACAACACTGGAAAAGAAAAAAAATTCTATTTGGTGACTAATAATCTAGACAATGTACCTGCAACATGTTGGCCATAAAGCATGACATCTGTATAGAAGAGGAAACTAGAATTCAAAAAAGGAAAAGAAAAGTATTAAATTGAAAGTCTTCATTCAAGAAGAATATTTATTTTTGGCAAAGACACTGATTATGAAAATCAATGAATTACACAGAAGTTTAAATAAAACAATAGTGTGCATTCACCTGTTAGTTAAGGAGAAAACGTTGATATGTAAATATCCCCACTTCTGATGGTCTTTCAATAAATGATTATATTCTTGAAAAGGTTATATATATTCAAGGTAATTGATTTTCTTTTAATGCATAGAACAGTTTGAACAAAGAAAATTTAGGCAAAACAAGGGGATTAAATACAAGTGAAAAGGGTAGAAAAAAATGAATATATGTAAATAAAAAAAAAATAGAATAACTAAAAATAGATTTATTCAAACAACAGTAGACAAAAAGCTGCATAAGGAATTAAACAATTCAGTACAATGCGAGGGAGGGGAGAAGTATGGTATGCTCAACTGACCCCAACCACCCCACACACAAAATATATAAAATAAAACCATGAGAACTTGTTAAGTAAATAAAGGAGAAATGAAAATTTGTATACTGACAAGAATTAGCACATTCAATCTAGTGACTTTTTATATCCTGGGCAGTGGGGGGAATGAGAGGATGACCTTATGTATTTTTTTGTTTTTTTTACTACATTTATATGCAAATGTCCTCGAAGAACCGAGTCACATAGCCCAATGATTGCATTTAGCATGAAACAGACTGCCAGCTTTGGATGTTGACTTCAATGTCCACTTAAACCCATAAATATAGCATACATTAAAATTAATATATATATATATATATATTAAGGATCGGAGTGTAACTAAATTCTATGCTAACAATTTCTTCTCTTGCATTTCTCAGTTGTGGAACTCTCCCGGCTTCTTGCTTTCCAGTCACTCTTCAAAAATTTAAATGCAATGTCAATCTTCTGTTTTCCTGTTCTTTTATTGTTCTTTCTCTTTGATGATTTCTTTTCCTCATATTTTCTCACATTCAGTAATCCTTGTATCGGTGGCTTTATTGCCTTCCTCGGAGTGAAATGATAAAAAAAAAAAAAAAAAAACGCATCCAAGTAATATTCAAAGCATCACTGAGTTTATGATTGAAAATGTTGAATTCAAAGAATTTGATCTCAATCATCTGAAACATTTTCTAACACATAGCACTAGCAGATATTTTTTCTTTATATCTATTAAGCAATGGCTTATTTAATGAAAATCATCCTTGGAATGCACACAGAATTAAACAGTCATCTATTTTATTCATCTAAATAAAATTTGTACAAGACAGGATATTTTTGATCAGTAGAATTTTTTGTATATAAAGCATTTGCCAACAAAAAATAAAATTTATTCATTTATAGCCTTCACATTATCAAAATAATGGTTTAACAGAAAATATCCAATACATCTTGTATGAGCCGTATGTCTTCATTCAGAAGACTAGAATTAAATAAACATGCTCACTCAAATGTTGTACTATTTTGAAAAGCGAAATTGCAAGGAAAATTAAAAGGATTCAAGAATAGATAGAAATGTAGGAGGAGAATGGCTGCATTATCAATAAAGAAGAAAAAGAAGTAGAACTGAATAGATTAGAAGTTACAAGAAAATATTGATAAGAATCAGTCACTCAAACAGCATTTCTTGTACAGAATCCATTTTGCATATTAGGTTATACACAGGTAAGTAGAAGGCAGTGAGATATTTAAAAAGATTAGCTTGTCAAGAGTTATAGTTGTATTGTGAACAAGGACCAACCTTTAACTTGGGAATTGCCTGATAAACAGGAAGCCAAAATAGAAATTGTGGAAGAAAAAAAAAAAAGCACTTTATATATATCTTTATGTACCTACCAAAAAAGAGTTTATTTTTCACAATTAAAAACAATATGAATGTGGGAAAAAATAGATCTAACAAAGTAACAAATAAGAGAATGATGGCATCAGTTTATCACTTTTTTTTAACACTAATATTCACTCAATACAAATCCCAAGAGCCACTCAAGGTAGAGGGTCACCGTGTGGACTTATATTAACATAGGAAAGGACAAGCGTTAAGAGTATAGAGCTGAACCAGACCAAGAAGGGATTCCTATAAAAATAAATAACTTCTGATGTCTTGTCAGATTTTGTGAAGTGAGTCTGTTCAAGAAATGCTCAGTATATACAACCGTACTTTAAAATAGAGAAAAATCTGCACTTTCCAAAAACAATCACAGTAAAACAAGAATTCTAAAACAAAAATTATTACCATATTTTCTTGTGCATAATATGAGAAATTTTAAATGATAAAGGCAAAAAAAGTGGGGGTCGTATTACACAGATACACATTTTTTGAAATTGTTACTCACCTTAAAAATCTTATTTGAAACAGCAAGATTGTAAAATATACTCAGTTAACATAATGGATAATAAAACACAAAGTAGGCAAGTGTTGCTAACAATTGTTTACAAAAGCTATTTGATATGACAGCAACATATATTATTTGAGAATAAACATACTTGAAGTTGTTTGGTCTCAGTTTCACTCACAAAATAAAGTTTGTTTATATTTTCAATATCTGTTTTTTTGTTTTTTAATAGTTTTCTCTTTTCATTCTTAATGAAAGAATTTTTTTTTATAGTTTATTAATATATATATATATAATCAAGTCAGATCAAAACAGAAAAGTATAAGAAATTTAACACCTTGGCTATGCATCTTTTTCTCAAAAATTAAAAAATAAGTTTTCAAACTGAAATTAGAAGAAATATTCAATGGCTAAATATTGGGTTCATTTCTTTAATATCAAGAAAAATTAAATATTTTAGTGAAATATATGTATGACATCAATATTTTAATAGATAATATGGTAAAACTTTAAAAACAAAAAAAAAAAAAAAACAAAATTACAGAGATGGCTGTATTATGGGATGATCTCAAGAATGTAAGCTTCAGAAACATGGCATCATACTAAAATCATATTATACACAAGAAAATATGGTAAATAGATTTTCTACTCCAAATAGAGATATTATTATCTACAAGGGTAAATGTTCAGAATCCATCTCCATATATATCAAAGTACATTCTAGAAAACCAAAGAGATAATCTTTTATAAAGAGATTATCAAATGATGATTATGCAGTTACATCACGAAGTCTGTATTCTAATAATGAAAGGAGAATAGAAAGAAAAGCATTTATTTTATGCAACAAATATTTTTAAGTTAATCTCTTTCCTTGCTAATGCACTTAATTCAATGGTCAATATTAATCAGAGACCAAACATCATTGAAAATTTCAGATCCAAATTCAGTTATAATAGGGGCTATAGATCAAATGATTCAACCCAGCTGAGAGAATGACTGCCAAAATACTTAAATAATAAACAATTATAAGAATGAAAATAAAAAATTAAAAAAAAAAAAATAAATAAAAAATAAAAAAGCTATACAACACTGATTTTTGCCTTCTTGGCTATTATATTCACATCAAAATAGTGTGACTGAACCAATTAACTGTCAGGAGTTAAAATCCTAATTCAGACACTGAAAGTCATATAGCCAGTGCAGTAGAAAAAGCAAAAGCAGCCTCACAAAGAATTGATAAAAGAAATTCTTTTATATGGACAGCAGAATGACAACCATCTACTAACTCAGCATAGATTAAATAAGGTAGACAATTCTAAATTCCAAGAAGGCTGCCTTATAAAACAAACATCTGAAGAAGGCTGGAAGGTACAATGGTTGAAATGTGATAACAACCAGGATGATTATAAAAGTCCAACTAGACTGATGTTTAATAATTCTGAGATGTGTGGGTAGCATACTGGTTATCAGTGCAGAAAGAAGAATCAGTGAGCAGTGTTCAAATCCCAGTTTAGTCTATTGCATCCATTTTCACAAATGATGCTCTTGGGTTTAATTGATTGATTTGTTATTTTTATGGCTTATTTGAAGGTTATTTAAAGCCAGAAAATATTTTTAGATTGTAAAGATTTTTGGAGACAATAATGATTTGATGGTACGAGTCCTACTAATTAACCCATAGCTGGAGATTTAGAAGAAATGGATTCATACTTTTCCTATGTAAGTGAATATAACGAACCCAACTGGAATTGGAACTCTGCTCTCTGATTTCCAATTGCCAGCCACACATCCAAACTTACAGCACCTGATATTCCCAAGTGGTCACCCATCTAGGTACTGACCAGGCACAATATGGCTTAATTTCAGTGATTGGACAAGACCTGGTGTTTCAACATGATATGGCCGTAAGCCTGATGCTCTTGAGAAAAGCATGAACCCACCTCTTTACCTCCACACAATCTATGAGATAAACAGTAGAATAGACTGGGGTCTCTAGCTTTGGATGGCAACCAGTCTATCAGAAGGACAACTCTAAATTCAAAACCATAGAGAAGGAAACAAGAAACTACTCTCATTCTCAGTTAGCCATTGCAATTCAAAAAGAAAAGGGATCTAAAGTGCCAAGATCACTGACATCCTAAATGAACATGGCTTTTAAAATAAATAAAATTAAAAAAAATATTAATTCATCATAGAAATTTCAGCAGAATGAAAATTATGGTAAAGTTCTGTTGGAGTCACCAATGTAATTGTCTTTATAACACAAATGAAAATTATTGCATAAACTAGTCTACACTAGATTTAATACTAGAGTTTATGGAGGACATTAGTGGGTTAAGTTTCATTTCAAAGTTGAATAATGATAAACAAAAAGGTCCATCAGCATCATGGGTCAGGGAAGATTGAAGGTCACAGCATAAATATATATATATATATATAAACCTTTTCAAAAATCAATTTTCTTTACTAGTTTTAATTAAACTAGTAAAGAAGATAAAAAAAAAATATTTACTGATAAATTTCTATCACTTTAAATTTAAGAGGAGTGGGAATCACAATGCTTGAAGTAGCCTAAAATTCCAAATTTAACTTTCAAGTTAAAAGATTGTAATAATACAAACCACAGAAGATATTTTGTTTGTATAAAACTCAATTCAGACACATATTGAGATTTTGTGTTTTTATAAAAACATTTATGAACTGTTTTTGCCAACAATAATAGGTTTATTAAAGGATTGATTAGTTTTTACGGCTTAACCACTTGCAGGTAACCAACCAACCATAATTGTAACAACAATTAGTTTAGTCCAAATGTAAAGAAGAAAATATATATTTTCAATGCATTATCTCCACATACATCCAAACTCAGTAAATATGTTTCTATCTTTAGCATTTACACAAAAGCCTAGGATAAAAATCTCATTTATTCTACTAAACAGCTAGTCATAAACCCAAGTGGAAGGGGAAAAAAAACAAATTTAAATCAGTTATGTAGAGATTCTTAGAATATATACCAGTTTTTACTTTATGAAAATATATTTATCTTAAAATGTACACATATATAAGACAATATGTATGTACAGGTTTCTTTTTGCTTGGAACACTTTTCTAGATCACTAGAAATGCTTGGTACAGAAAGTGGGTTGAATTGCACATCTCCTTCCAATGATGAAATGAAAATGAAATCTTTCTTTTATATAATCAAGTTCTATAAGATGTCTTAAGGTCATTTTTAGCTCACAGACAAATGGATTTAGTGACTGAATCAGTCTCCCCACAAGGCTTTTCTAGTGAGGCATATGGTTAGACACCCAACAAGATTAAAAATAAAACCAGATGAAACTTCTTGTAGGTCAAAGGCCATCTAGCACAATGGAGTAGACTTGGCTCCATTGCTATAGATGCAGTGAGTGAAATGATGACATGGCATTGCTAGGAAAAGAGCTTCCTAGATTGTTTATGACCAAGAGGAGTTTCCAAGTTGGAGATCAATGACTGTGGTTTGTCCTGAAGAGAGATGAGCTCTGACAGGTCTACTTGCTCAAAACATGCTACACACGAATGAATACCTCTCCAGCTCCCAACCCAGATATGTGGAGGGAACTGGTTAGGTGCTCAAATGCACAGTGACACCTACAACCACACCCAGTAATAGAACAAGATAAATAGATACTATTTTTTTTTATTAGTTTCTTCAGAAAATTATATCCCATTTTAGAATCAACTTTTATTCCCCAATTAATGTATTTAAATAGTGTTTAAAAATCAGTCAAAATAGGAACCCTGAGCATCTATACATTTCTGTCATCAAGTTTATGCCTTTATGATAAAATTGTAAAGGTTTGGATGCCAAGAAATCTTTTGATGCAGTTTCTGCATCTTCTTTGCAACATTATGTCTTTCGGCTTAAAAATAATTATCAAGACGCTTGAAAAAATTGTTAGTCAGTAGATGAGAGATTGGGGGAATATGATGGGTGTGGCTTATATCCTAAATTGGTGAGCTTCTGCAGTGTCATCATTGCAACATGTGGCCAAGCAGAATTGGATCTTGTGAATTTTGCTTAACTAAATGTGCATCCAGTTTCTGGCAGGAAAGTGTTTGGGTGCTTTGTCATGATAAAGCCATTGAGCATCAATGATGTCAAAGAATTCATTTCTCATGACAAGTCACTATTCAATCAAGAAATGGATCATTCAAATTTTGAAGACGCAGGATCAATCAAACACTTCAAAAAATGTTGAACACGATTTCACAGAATTTATAGGAAATTCATTTTATAAAGTTTCTTTACCTTGCCATTTTCTTGAGATAATCCGATATTGTTGAAATGCTGACACCCATTATCTGAGACATTCCTCTGACACTTTGATGTGTTTTGTTGAACTAGTGTTTTCAGATGGTGATTGTCAATAAATGGATGACAACCATGATCTTCAATACATGTATCTCCATTGCAGAATTTCAGAAACCAGCACCATACTGTTCAGTCACAAGTGGATCCTTCACCCAATGTTCTGTTAATGTTGGTAACAGTTTGAGAAGCATTATGACCAAGGCTTGAATTCATGTAAAAAAGTAAATGCATCTCTTTTTTCATGTTCAAGTTGACATTATATAATAGTTTTAATATAATGTTTAAAGGCTAAATTCTGAGAAAGACTGATATTTTTAAGAAAAAAAAAAAAAAGAAAAAAGAAAAAAATCAACAAGAAAGATACTTTAATGAGTAATATATTTTTGTGAAACTATTATAACACAAAAGGTTTATTCTAAAATCAGACATTTTCCAAACAACCTAATATCATTGGAATGCAATTACAAACACAATATATAAAATAAAATTTTGTTGGCATTTTTTGACAGTATAAGTAAATTAGTTTTACTTATTGTGTCGAATATATAAAGTAAAAATTAATTTTCTAAAATATAGATCATTTCAGTTGTCAACTGATTTAGTTAAAGTAAATTTGGTTACTATAGAAAAAAAAATTGAGTCATTAATCCATGATGAAACAATTTATTCTTGTGATCAAAGTGTTGACACAGAAAGAAAAAAATAACTTAAAATGATCAGCATTCATGAAGTGCCCTACAGAAAGAAATGAATACAGTAGATTTGTTACTGCTCACACTTAGAAAAAAATATATGCAAATTGTGTGCTTAACAGTGTGCTACAAAATAATCAATAAAAGAACATGTTGAGACCTGTGAAGGTCTAAGGCTGAAAACAGTTTAGAAAAATAACCCAGTTTAATTCTTTCCAGTCATCAAACATTTTCACTGGCATGAACTACAAAACAGAAAAGAGGGAAAAAAAAAATTCTTCAAAAGTGAAAATAGTAGCCAGAGCATCCTGTCTACACCAGCAATAAATCTTGCAAAAAGTCTCATTTATCTATGATTAATGTTTACATGAGATTTATCCGAGAAAGTTGCTTTCATTTGAGTTGAGAAAGAAACCAAATCAGACTTTGGTCTAATCACAACAACTGCATTTATTTCTTTGCCCGTTTCTCTGAAAGTTATATACAAGCTCCTGCTTCCAGATATCTACAAAATCATGGCAACATGTTAACCTTGGGCATTATTAGCAACCTCTAAAGCATAACAAGAGAGTCTTTCAAGACCAGTAGCAAGCACAACATCTCTCACAAATAAGCAGTTGGGATGAAGTTTCAGTGGCTGTAGAAGATTCAAGAAAAAGTTTAAATCAGCACTCTCTCTCTCACATACACACACACACACACAATTCCACAACTGACTGACAGTAGGTTTACATTCATTTCCATAAACACATAAAATTAGGAGAATATGATATATAAACTCTATATCAGACTAACAAATGACTAAAAAGGAGACAAATCTTATGTGGCAGGTTTTGTCCTTCAAAAGGACTTCATTTGACTAGATGTTTTTATTGATTTTTGGTTCCAATTCAATAAGAATGATCACTAAAAACGTCCCTTCCCAAATTTATAAGCAAATCATACATATGTATGTTGGGATTTCTTCCTAACCAATAAAATGTGCCACTTCTCAGTTTCAGTTGTAATTCATCCTTTAAAATATTTGATTCTAACTTAGTATTTATTTTTGACATTTTAATCTTGGTATCTTGTACAATTTTTTTTTTTTTTAAAAATCATCAAAATCTTGGAATCAATTAAAAATAATATGATTAATATTTCTCCAAGGCAAACATTCAGTCTTTTTCTATGTGCCATGTCTCTTCAAGACATTAGCAATCATGGCTCTCCACAATTTCCAGTCCTTTGTAGTTTTTAATAAATCTTGTTTTTTTTTTGCTATCTCTCTCAAACCCAAACTATACCATTCATTTACTCAAGTCTGCTAGGTAGGTTATGTATTGTTTTCCTCTGTCCCTCTTGTCTTCATCATGCCCTGTGAGTATCAAATTCTCTAAGCCCTCTTTCCTCATTATGTGCCCTAGGAATATCAACTGTTTAGTTCTGATGTTAAGTATAAAAGTCCTTTTTGTTTCCATTTTCTCTAAAACTTTGTTGTTGCTAACATGTTTAAAGATTGAATTTAGGAAGTAGTTTAGACAGAAAATTTTTCAGCACCCACTTATACATTTAAAATAATTATTGCTTTCTTGAAGTAAACAGACATAATGGTGGTCTTGTGATTAACAAAAACAAAGACTAACAATGTACAACCTATTTTCTTTTATATCTATGAAAAATAAGAAAAAAATATCAAAAAAGAAAAAGAAATCCTTTTTAAAAAAAATATAAAGGATTTCTTTCAAGTGATTTTAAGTTTTCAGAATGGCAACTTAGGAAATGATTATTGTGGATGTTTTTCTTTTCCCCAAAACAATTGTGTATTTGAATTTTTTATAAAATAAACAATGCCTAGTTTTTTTTTTTTTAAAAGTAAA